CCAGCAACTTTGTTTTTGTTCCTGATTTACAGCATCCGCAGTTCTTTCAGTTTTTAATTCCAAGACTTTGTTCCTCTTATACTTCGACCCCGTACACTAAAGGCTAACATGCCATTTGTCTTCCTAATTGCTTGCTGTACCTCTGTTGTAACTTAGTGTTTCTTGTATGAGGAGGTCACTGAAACTTTGAGCATGATATGTAAGTATTTTGCACCATTTTATAAGTTTTTCTGCTTATCCTACCAAAGTTGAATAACACATTTCCGCATTCACTATATAAAATATATAATAATCACCTTCACTGTATTGCTATTCGTGTTTGTACATTCTACAGTGTTTATTGTTGAAAATGTCTTAATTTGGTGCTGAGGTCTGTGAATGTGCATTCAAGTATTTGCAGTCATCTTTCTCAATCCACCAAGCTCCCTGTGTCCATTTTTGAATGCCCAATGGTCTGTTCGTACAGTATGATCTGAGGTATGCTTGAATTAGGCAAATGTGGGGAAGAAAGAAATAAATCTTACTGTGAATGTATTCTGACCTAGCAGAATTGTACCCCTGTCCACCCAAATCCACTGGAAAAATTGGATCTTCTGAACTATTCCCTAGCCCTAAAGTTTAGAGAAGCAAGATACCCAAGGGGTGACACACTTCCTCTGTGCATTTAAATTGATAGGTTTTCAATGCAATTAAAAGGTCAATCAGAAATAACATTGGTAGGAAAGCTTTTATAACAGTATTCAAGTGTTTAGTTATGTAACTATAGATTCTGTGTACATTTATTTACGTGTGTACGCCAAAGTTTCAAACCAGGGTTCCTAAATTCTGCAAATTTTTGACAATTTCAGGTTCCCAAGGCCACAGTTAATGTATTATCATGCATTGAATTAAACCTCCAAAGAAAAATTATTCTTGTGCTTTACAATAATTATTTACATACTCTTCAATCATCACTTTCCCTTTAAAGTGGAGCTGCAGGTCTCCCATAATCTGTCACACAGTAAACTTTGTTTGTGAGGATGTGAGATTAACTTATTTTGTCTATCTAAAGTGGGAAATGAAAAGACTTCAGTTTTCCAGCAGCAATTGGAAAAACATCTTGCAGTTTCTAAGCATAACTCTGTTTTTTTTTTATTCATCTTGTCTAGCCCTTCCAATCTTATTGTCCCACCTAACAACAACTTGACACCAGAATCCTTGTCCAAGCAGATGTTTGTCAATGAAATGTACAAGTTCAAAAATTATTTTAAAATTTTATCAAGAAAACTTTTTATTGAACTTAATTTGGAGATTAAAGTGAAGAATACAAGAAATAGTAGTTGGGGAAGACCACACAGCCCATTGTGCCTGCCTTCTGTATGATCATGGATGAACTTCAACTTCAGTTCCACTTATTCTGCCATTCCCTGTAATATTTTTTCTTCAAGTCACCAGAAATGGTTTCTCTCCATTTTATCTAGAAAATCCCACAATCTTTTGAAATAAAGAATTCCAAAGGTACACGTCCTTTGAGTAAAGAAGTTTCTTTTCATCTCAGTCCTAAATGATCGGCCCGTAACTCTGAGACACAGCCCCATATTCTAGATTCTCCAGACAGGAAAATGGTCTGTGTCTACCTTGCCAGGGCCCTTCTCTTTTTTAAAATTTCTGTCAGATCATAGAAACAGGAGTAGACCATTCAGCTGTCAAGCTGCTCAGTTAGATCTTTATGGTCATCTGCCTTAGTACAATGTTATCCCATATTCCTTAATATTATTTTATCCAGAAATCTTCTAGTTTTATGTCTTGAATACGTTTAATAATTGAACTTCCACAGGTCTTTGGCGTGGAGAATGCCGAAGATTCATCAATCTCGGACTAATAAAATTCCTCCTCATCTCTGTTAAGTGGTCTTCCTATTTCTGGACTCATCATCCAGCATACCACCTGAAATCCAAATTGTGATGTTGTGCAAGAATTTTGAGTTTTTATGAAATTGCCTCATTCTTCAAAATACAGTCCCTCCTCATAAGACGTTTCCATCTTCTCAGAGATTAATTTGGTGAATCTCCATTGTACTACCTCCACAGCAACTATATCATTCCTTGGATAAGGAGATGAAAACTGTACACAATACACTAGGTACAACTTCACCCAGGTTCTACACAGTTTCTACCGGATAGCTTTAAACCTGTACTCAAATCACTTTGCAACGTAAGCTGCCATACTTCTTGCCTCCCGAAATGTTTGCTGCACAGTGACTTGTGAACAAATGGATTCAGGTCTTTGAGTGTCAACATCTCTCAACCCCCGCCATGTAGAAATACTCTTATTTTCCTGTTTAACTTGATTAAAGTTCAGAAAATGTAGACTTAATTTGTTTAGTCTTTCATCATAGGGTGACTGTCATCCCAGTGATCATGTGTTTTCTCTGGTTGACATTGGAGAACAGATTTATTGGGAGAAAGCCAGCAATTACAATACATATTCTAGTTAGATTTAATTCACTTGAAAAAACAAACTGAATTACCATACAGCCTTTCAATGGTAAAGTAGATTTTCTCTCAATAACCTGATTTACTTTATGAATACCAATTTTAAAAAAAAGCATGGTACTTGTTAAATGAGGGTGTTAAATGAGGGTGTTAAATGCGAGGTAAGTTATCAGTTTGTTGCAAAATAAAATCTTTATCATTCACGATCAAAATTTGGTTTGCAGTGTTTACTAAATTCTGATGAGGGAAGAACATATATCGTGTTTCAACTCAGCAGGAACCTGCTAATATATGCTGGAGAGTTCTGCAATCTACACCTCCTAGATTACTCAGTCTTGTCTGATTTGGTTTTTATACACTCCATTAGCTCAGCAGAACAAACTCTTGTTTCCAGACTTTTATCCCATACCAGCTTTATTCCTCTAGCATGTCAAATTTAAAATGCTCAATTTTAAGTTCCTTGGTGTTCACTCTTCTTTGGATTCTGTCACAGAATCAACCCCACACTGCATACCTCTGACTCGGGATTCTTGTCTGTCCTCTCTTTGTGTAGCTCTACGTTTGTTGGATGTGCAATTAGCCCTTTCTATTATGAATGCTTACAAAGCCAAGCAGTGAAATAAAGATTGAGATTCAAACATACAAAGACAGTTGTTGACAGGAAATGTGTAAGATAAATGTGTATAAAAAAAATTGAAGACATATAGATTGTCCAGGCGAAGTCTGGACATTGAATGAATAGACTTGTACAATCTTTTAATTTTGGTCTGTTAACCAACGGATTAATGTATACATGTTTCAACCTTATTTAATGTGTGTCTGTGGAGTCATAAATGTCTTTACCAAGCTAGACTTCAGGACATAAGGAAACTGTAAAGCTCATATTCACTGATAAATTGTTTAGCATTTGTCCCAAATCCTGGGTTTCCCAGTGATCTATATTGAATGGATTAATTTTTGCAAACAATTTTTTCTCAAAATGAAAATGAGCCAAAGTAAGGCATGTTTGAAATAACTGGCCAGTAACTAGACCCAAAATAAATTTCATTATTTTTAATTTAAAATGCTTTGACTAGATGTAACAGTCTCTATCTGAAATAGCATTCATTTTTTAGTTGGCTGTTGCATAGATATCATGGCACTAAAACATAACTTTAAGTGGATGAATAGCTGGACATATTGATCTTGGTGTCTTTGAAAGTGACACAATTATAAACTATTAATTTCTTATCATTGTTGAAGTATGGCATTTTATAAACAAGAGAAGTGTTTATGTTAAATAAGTTTTTTTTTTTTTTTAAGCCTGAGATTTTAGTTAATACAAAGAGTATTACTAATTTCAGCCCTAAGGTTAGGAGATGTAGGTGCTGTCATCACTGCAGTGGAAGAAGATGAACATGACAGAGCATCTGGGCTTCAAGAATCTTCACAGAATAGCAGTAACTCAGAGCCTAATCCAGTTCAACCCAATAGAAAGTCCCCCCGTCTCCACGCACCAGGTTAGTGAATGTGAATGAGAAAACTTGTAGTCTTAAGGACTGGATCGACTGTCTGTGCTCTTTATCTGGGCAGGAATTCAATTGGAAATGCATTATTTTGAATCTGTATGTATAGATACGTGCATTTAGCTCAGCTTTAATTCTGCATATCTACTGTTCTCTGTAGCAAAGTTGCTCGCTGATTGCTGACAGATTTATGTCTCAATCTTTCTTGAATGATTTTCTAATATAAAAAAGATATTTTCCTTGTTGCCTGTATTGTCCTTGTTGTCTGTGTTGGTCCAGACTATGGCATTAAGAATCTACTGGACACTGGTGTTAGAGTAAACAATACAGAGCACAGACCCAGATTTGATTGTTAGATTGTATGGAATGTAAGTAATAGAAACAGGCCACATGGCCTTTCCCTTTCTTACCTTCAATAAAATCAACTGAACTGCTCGTAGATGTATTTATATCCTGTGTAAGAGATAACAAACTGCATTTTCCTGACTTCTCTTTATCCCTTGGTGCCCAAGAACATATGGATCTTAGTATTGAATATACTCAAAAAATGAACATCTATAGACATTTGGGTTAAAAAGAATTCCAAAAACACTCAACTTTCTCAGAAACTTGTCCTCATCTCAGCCTTAAATGGTGAACCACTTATCCTAAGGCACTGATCCATAGTTCTAGATTGTGCACCTCAATGAGATCACTTCTCATTCACCCTTCTGATCTGCAGATGATATAGGCCCATTCTAGTTGATCTTTCCCCAAAATGGCTCTCTTGTCATAGGAACTAATATGAATCTTAATTCACTTTTTCGAAAGCAAGTTTATCCTTCCTTGGGGGAAGGAGTGTCCTCGGCCAAATCATTTTGAGCTGTTTTATTAATGACTTTCCCTCCATCATAATACCAGAAGTAGGGATGTTTTCACATGATTGCACAAGTACTGAAGCACTGTGCAGTTGTTGATTTGCTCACCGAGCAGGTAAGTTTGCTTGCAGACAGACATTTCATCATCATACTAGGTGACACCATCAGTGCACGTCTGGTAAAGCATCAGCGTTCTGTCCCGCTATTTGTGTGTCTTGGTTTGTTGGGGTGGGTGGCATCACTTCCAGATTTGTTTCTTAGTGGTTTGTGTATGGGTCCAACTCTACATGTTTGTTAATGGTGTTCCGGTTTGAGCGCCAGGCCTCCAGGAATTCTCGTGCGTGTCTTTGGTTGGCTTGTCCTAGAATGATTATGTTGTCCCATTCGAATTGGTGTCGCTCTTTGTCCATGAGTATTGAAATGAGTGATTAGTCGGTCGTGTCTCTTGGTAGCTAGTTGGCGTTTGTGAATCCTGATGGCTAGTTTCCTTCCAGTTTGCTGTGTGTAATGTTTTTGGCAGTCTTTGCATGGTATCTTGTAAATAACATTTGTTCTGTTAGTTGTGATTGTCGGATCCTTTATTTTTGTCACTAACTGTTGGTTTGTGGACCCGAAACGTCAACTTTCCTGCTCCTCTGATGCTGCCTGGCCTGCTGTGTTCCTCCAGCTCCACACTTTGTTACCTTCTGAATCTATGACTTCTTCAACTTAGAGGATCAAGGGTGCAAGGTGAATGGGATCTCAACTGCTTGCAAATCTCCCTTCAAGTTGCACATTACTCTGACATGGCACTGTATCATAATTCCTTCACTTTTGCTTTGTCAAAATCCTGCCATAAAGCAAGTATAAATTCCATTGGATGCATATTTTAAACCTGTTTCACTAATTTGTCAATATTCCTCTGAAGCTGCCTTTAGTCCTCAGATTTATTTGTGATTTTTTTTCCTTATAGTTTAGTTTGCAAATTGCTTCCTTGAACAAAAGTGGTTGCAGAGCAAGCATTAGAGAACATTGCCACTTGCTTCTAACCAAAGTGAAAAACTCCTCCATATTTTTTGCTCTCTTCTAACCTGTTTTTAATTGATCCAGTTCCAAATCATTTAATCTTCTTCACTGGCTTCCTGTGTAATATCGTCAAATAATTTAACAGGATTCATTAGCGTCTAATTCATTAGGTTTTCTGTCTTATATCAGTCATTTCCTCAAAGAAGGCTGCCATATTTGTGGAGCACAATGTTTCCTTCTGAAATCTGTTTATTGCTGCTACTTCTTACTCTTCACATTTATGTTTAAGAATGTCTGTCATCTTTTGAAGATTTCAAAGATTTTCACAAAAGCAATAAGACATAGGAAAAAATCAGAGTTAACATTATGGGTTTTTTCCTGATTTTTTTTTTTCCTCTCAGATGCTGCCAGACCTGCTGAGCTTTTCCAGCAACTTTGTATTTGTTCCTTGTTTACATACATGGCCCAAAACAGCTCTCAATATTCCAAATGTGTTCTTGTCAGAGCCTTATACAGCCTCAGTAGTAAATTTCTCCTCTTGTATTCTAGCCCATTTGAAATTAATGCTAACAGTAAACTGTAATTATCTATATTAATTCTTTAAGTAGTTATGTGTCCTGTTGCGTATAGCCGTTATCAATAGAATCCAGAAATATCATTTCTCAGTCCTCCACTATTTCTTCCCCTTTACCCTCTGGATCCTTAGATGCATCCCAACAGTGTTTTCCTACAGCTTAACTAATTTCTTTGGTATTGTATCTCATCTCACTTTTAACAAATTCTAAATTAACTTTATTATTAATAATCTGTGTTCTAAATGATAGTGCAGAGTACTTGAGTGACCCTGTCATTATGTTATGCGTTTAGTAAGATGCCACGTAAAAAGTTGCTGTACAATATAGGAGCTCATAGTATGAGGGGTAGTGTATTAGCATAGATTGAGAATAGTTTTTAAAAAAAAAAAGAGAAAGCAGAAGAGAGATTTTTCATGTGTGAGTGGTTGGGATCTGGAATGCACTGCCTGAGAACATGGTCAATCTGAATTCAGTCGTGGCTGTCAAAAGGGAATTCCATAAAAAGCTAAAGTGAAAAGAATTGAAGGGTGATGTGCTAAGGTCTGAGTGTGAAGCTGGCTAAGTTGCTCAAGAAGAATGCTGGCAAGAACATGATAGGCCAAATGGCTGCCTTCAGTGGTGTAACCATACAGTTGTGATTTTGCTCCAGATGTAGTCAGTTGGGATTTCTGTTGGGGCATTAGATTACTAGTCCAGTAATAGAACCACTATGCTGTTGTATCTCTGTACACCTTCAATGCCAATTTGTTCCCACATGTATTTACTAACTGCAGCCTAAAGCTAAGAACTCAGACTCTACACATATTGTGCATCTTTTAAATTTTTTTTACTTAAAAATATATTGATTTACAGCCATGTGTGCCAACTCCTGTTTACACTCCACATCTCCTCAACTCAGGTTTTCCCTTTCCATTTGCACCAGAAATCCTATTTTATGGTCATTGTCCACAAAGGAATGGCATCGTGGCTCAGTGATTAGCACTGCTGCCCCACAGCACCAGGGACCCGGGCTCAATTCCACCTTTGGGCGACCATCTGTCTGGAGTTTGTACGTTCTCCAGGTGTTCCGGTTTCCTGCCACAGCCCAAAAGTGTACAAGTTAAGTGGATTGGCCCGTAGTGTTCAGGGATATGTAGGTTAGGTGAGTTAGCGATGGGAAATGCAGGCTTACAGGGATAGGGTAGAGGGATGGTCTGGGTGGGATACTCTGACGGCCTGTGTGGACTTGTTGTGCCAAATGGCCTGTTTGCATGCTGTGGGGATTCTATTCTACGGAAAGTTTTTGTCAATACTTAGTTCAAGGACCTGATTAACTAGATCTATCACCACCTGTTTTCTGAAATACTCTAACGCACTGCCTCAGGAAAGTGACTTGTTCATGTATTTAGATCAGTTTATTCCTTCTTAGTTAGAAAGTAGGTAATTAAAATCTATTATTCCTACCCATTCTCATAAACGTTGTCTGCAGTCCCCTTCTGATCCATTTCATAAAGTTGGTGTCTGAAATGCACTTTCATATTTTGGCCTCTAATTATTTAACTTTAACTCTTGTGTTTCGTCACTCCTTTTCACAGGATAAATTCTCTCCTTCATATTGCCATTCCTTGCTTGCTTCTTCTGTGCTACCTAAAAAATATTATAACCGATGTATTTATTTTATGTTACTGCCTAATTTGCAGCCAGATTTCTGCCTGTGTATTCTCTGATTTTAAATCTATAAGTGTTTCTAATTGCCTGAGTTTATTTCCAAGAACGATCATTGTAGTACTTGCACTTCACTTTGTTTGTTTATAAAGCTCGATTCCCAGGATTATTTCGCTGTTTTTCTGCCTCTTCCATGGCATTTTTCTTCCTTTTACATTCAACTGTCTGGATGCTGTTCCTTTTGCTAATTTTTTTTCTTTTGTGTATTTTCACTTTGCCACCACCTTGTACTTTCTCATGTTCTTTTGCACTATTGTGGTTTTAATTATTTCTTGCTTACTGGTATATTAACTGCCATCATTGCAGGTTAGCTCCACATTTCTCTGGTGTACCTAATAAATTTCTAATCTGTCAAATGAACAGTAATGCAAAGAAAATCAATTTTGAAGCTCCACTCGAACCTGCTTCCTGAACTTCTTTTGCAATACTTCACTATCTTGTTAATTGTCTTTTCTTGCCCAGGCCCAAACATCTTCAGCTGCTTCATCAGTGACCTTCCCTGCATCATAAGGTCAGACATAGGGATGTTTGCTGATGATTGTACAATGTTCAGCACTGTTCACAACACCTCAGATACTGAAGCAGCCCATGTCTAAATGCAGCAAGATCTGGGTAATACCCAGGCTGACAGGTAGCAAGTAACATTCATGCCAGACAATGACCATCTTTGACAAGACACAATCCGACCATTATCCCATGACAATCAGTGGCGTTGCTATCACTGTATCCCCCACTATGAACATCTGGGGGTTACCATTGACCAGAAACTCAATAAACTTACATTTAAATACAGTGGTCCATGTCCCTCAAGTGAAATATTTTTAAAAAAACCTTTATGGACAAAGAGTAGTTTCCCTCTCTTTGATCTTCTCCATTTTGTCCAAAATGTTGCTTACCTTTGTTGGAGGGAGATATCAAAGAGAAATCTTGAGTCCCGTTTTTAACAGCACAATCGGCCTTATTCGGAGCTTCTTACCAACACAGCATGTGAAAGCTCCCTGTCTAGGACACTCTGCCCCCCTTAGCCAAGTACGGCATTTTTATACATTTCGGGTTACAGTAATTGTATGCAATATGTTGTTGTTTGCCACGTACCCGTAATCTATACACCCAATCCTATTAAACACACATTCAATGATGGACAACTCTGGACAGCCTGAGTCCTCCCATAATCTCATGATGTTTTACCAGATGCCTTTATCATCTGTCTTTGGGATCTTACAAAGCATGCTGTGAAACCAGATTCCAATACTGACAGTTATACTCCTTGCCATATATTTGCTAGCTGCATTACATTAATTGCCATAACCTGGATACTTGCTTTGCACCACAGAATTTGGAAAAATCCTTAGTGATATCTATATTCCCTACTGACAATAGTACACAAGATTGGAAAGCTTGTTAAAGACTTTATAACAGTTAATAGAAATTAAGATCAACTCTAATATAAAGTTACTACAGTTCTGTGATAAAACTGACAAATTGGGTGCAGCTTCTCTTTCACTTGACCTTTGTAAATCAAACAAATGCAGTCTCTTTGACTTGCAGCCACTACCACTCATGCTGCAAGTGGGTTTTAAACCGAAGTTTAATTCTTGGATAAACCCTTAGTGTTTCTAAATACTTTTCACACTAATCTTCTTCACTTAAGACAGCATCTATTGAATTCTGCTGATGAGAGTGAAAGTAATTCACTTTACAGCTTTACCAAGTCATTAAGGAATCCAAACAAGTTTCATTTAAGGTCCAACAGACATAACCTCATACCCTGTATCTTACAGTTTGTCTGTCATTCTTCTTTTGATCTTTGGATATAAGAATCTGTACTTGAGCTGCAATTTGTTTATTTCTCCACAATGACTGTGCTTTACAACCTTTCTCAACCCCCAACCATACTGTGGTGCTCTTTTAGAGGTTATCTGTTTATCCTGTTAGCGGCTTCTGCCCCATTTGATAGAGCAGGAATTTTCTTTACTGCCTGTAGTTATTTACTCAGGAATTCAGCTAAACCTCCATGTTAGTTTGTGGTTTGCATCTCTAATTTATAATTACCTAAAAAAATTCAGAACACTAGGATTAAAATTTTGCTTATACATTTTATTAAATAACAAACTTGAGATTGTAGTTAGTGCCCAGGTATTTCTCATCCTTTTCAGGGTATTCTTCATAAATGCTTTTGTGTTTAGAGAAGCCTATCCACAGAAATCATCTCTTGCATTTCCCCCACTTCTGCTGTCAAATCCCCTCTGCCAACAAAAATAAAGACAGAATCCCCTCGTCCTCACACATCACCCCACTGACCTCCGCATCCAGCGTATCATTCTCCACCACTTCTGCCCCCTACAATTCGACCCCACAACCAAAGAGATATTTTCCTCCCCATCCTATCTGCCTTTCGTAGGGACTGCTCACTATGCGACTCCCTCATCCACTCCACACTCCCCATTGACCCTGCCACACCCGTCACCTTTCCCTGCAACTGCAGGAAGTGCTACACCTGCCTCTACACTTCCCCACTCACCTCCCTTCAAGCCCCTAAACAAACCTTTCATTATCAGACATGGGTTCACCTGTACATCCGTTAACTTGGTCTAGTGTATCTGTTGCTCCCGATGTGGCCTCCTCTACATCGGCGAGACCAAGCATAGGCTCAGAGACCGTTTCGTAGAGCATCAGTGCTCTGTTCGTGACAAATGACAACACTTGCTGGTTGCCAACCATTTTAACTTTCCCTCCCACTCCCTGGATGACGTGTCCATCCTGGGCCTCATCCAATGTCACAGTGATACCACTCTCAAACTGAAGGAGCAACACCTCATATTCTGCCTTGGGAGCCGACAGCCCAATGGCCTAAACGTTGAATTCACCAGTTTTAAAATCTCCCTACCCCTGGCCTCATCCCATGTCCAACACTCCCCCTCATCCCCACCTCCTTGACCTGACACAACCTACCCATCTTCTTTCCCACCTATCCGCCCACCTGTCCTACTGACCAATCCCCTGCTCTCACCTATCACTATCCCACCTACCTTCCCCAGCCCCACCCTCCTCTCTATTTATTTCCCAGCTCCCAGCTCCCAGCTCCCATCCCCATTTCTGAAGAAGGGTCCTGACCCGAAACTTCAACTTTCCTGCTCCTCTGATGCTGCCTGGCCTGCTGTGTTGTCTCCGACTCCAGCATCTGCAGTTCTTGCTATCTCTAATTAAATTCCCCTGTTTCTTCTCACTGAGACCCTTTTATGACTCTCAGGGGACCTTTCATTATTGTATCCGATGACTCTGACTCTGTATGGAGACCAAGTCTGGCTGTGCTGGTCTGCCTTATGGCTGCCTTATGTCAGCTAAAGACCCCCAGGCGGCTACTTTGTCAACCTTTAATCATAGGCTGCTACTACTCCCTTAACCCGGAACGCCCCAAATTAGGGGTCAAATGCCCATGTGCAATTGTGAGCTAAAATGTTGGGACCTTGAGCTCTGAGGCAGCATGGTGCTCCAACCAAGTTGTAACAACTAAGCTCCCACTCTAATAAGCCCTTGTGCTCTCAGTTCTCACTGAGGGGTTGTGACAATTTTCAAGCCTTGATATGGGTTCACAATGGGAAACAGATGGAAAATGCTGCCTTAAATTCATCAAAAGGGAAGTACCAGGGCACTTGCTGGAATAAATAAAATATCCTTCCCTCCTATTAACAAATCTCTTGTTGTTATTATAGACATAACTAAATTTTTTATCACCTTGTCTCCTTGTCCCAAGCTCAGCAAATCCGTTTTGCCATTTAATAATGATCCCAGCAAGAGTCGTCCTCCTTTCCATAGTGAGTCAATATTTTAACTTTCTGGGGAAGTCATTTGCTTTGGATATTTATGCTTGTCCCTTTCCGACTATCAGTCAGTCAATATTACCTCAGTCTCTCAATAGGTTGACTACTGTTGAAAATTATTCTTCTGAAAACCTAACTTCCTGCCATAGTGCATTGTCTCTAACTCCAATTTTGAGTTCTGAGATTGTGTTTTTGAATAAGCTCAATTGGAAGCACTTGTTGAAGAAGTTATGTTACTGGATTAGTAGTACTTTGGTAATAGACGTTGGACTGAACTTCATAAAAATGACCAAGAAACTGCTGAGTTGTCAGAAAAATTCCTGAACTGGTTTTTTTTTAATGCTTTTAAGGGAAGTTAACTTCAGTCCTTACTGGTCAGCTGTCTTATGACTTCAATCTGTCGTCATTGTTGTTGATTCTTAACTACCCTCTCAACCAATCAGTCGTCCAGACATCTAGGAATGGAGAAACAAATGTTCATCTTAGCAGTGATGGTGACAATTCAGAATTAATTTTCAAACAAAACCTTGCTTCAGTTATGTTTTTTTACAAAAAAGGTATTTCCGTTCTTTACTGCTTTGTCCTTCAGACACCACAGATTTATCCCTGAACATAATCTTGCAAAGCTCTGTTGTTCACCATCTCTGTGTGCAATTCAGTTGCAGGCTCCTGAAGATACTTTCTCCCCATCCTCTCATTACCTGTCCTCTTAGAAGCAAAGGATCCATTTCTGCTTTGAAGTTTAAGAATGATATTAATGTATAGTTTGGTTTGTAAAGTCGTATTTGATTAACTATAATGTAATTGATTGTTTCCTCTAATCATCTGCATTTTTACAGTAGCTGTTCTGGAGAGTAAGGATGAGAACAAAGATCAGTCTGCACGAATCATCCACCCAAGCAGTAAAGAATTTAAAAAGACTTGGGGATTCCGACAGACGACTATTGCAAAACGTGAGAATGCTATGGATGCAGAGAACTCTGACACAGCCCTGAGTGAGAACTCTGACCATTTAACACCCTTATTGAGAAGGAGCAGACGGCAGACTCAGAGATCTGCCAGAGTTCAGGAATTTATTTCAGCAGCTCAGAAACGCTATCGCAAAATGTCAGGCCTCGATGATGGTGAATGTGGATCCATTGCAACTTCTGAGGCAGGAACAGGCTCCGATGGGAGTGTGGATGTAGATGAAAAGGGTGTTGGATCTCTAGACGTGGCCACAGACAAGGGCTGTGCCAGTATATTTGAAAGAACAAATGAAGTGGCTAACTCTGAAGACAGCAGCACGAACAGTGACAGTGATGAACTTACACTGAAGGAACTACAGAATCAGTTGAGAAAGCAACGTGGTGGTCAAGAGCAACCTGATTCACCACAGAATTCACTCAAAGGACAGGAAATGTGCGCTGAAGAAAATCAATCCAGAAAAGAATCAAAGTCTGTTGTCACTACAAAAGCTAAAAAGAAAATAATAACTCCTGTAAAGAAAAGTACTAAAAGTGGTCCACCTTCAAAGGAAAAAGAATCGCAATCACAATTAGATGTTAAGTCGGAGTCAGAAGATGATGAAAGTTCAACCAATCAATCAGACAATGAGTACAATGATCCAGATAAATTATATTGTATATGTAGGCAACCACATAACAACAGGTAGGTTCCTGGATTTGGAAAGCTGCACATGCTCAAAATAAGATTAAAAATGAACATTTGAAGCAGCAGCCTAGTTTATACTCTAGTAATGAATTGCTGCTGCATTTGTATACAGTGCACGCACTACTTTGTCTCACTGTAATTGGTGCATGTACTGTTGTCAAGCTACTTAAACTCTTAACTCCAAAACATTTAGTACTAGTCTGACGAGTAATGTTTATTGTCATCTTATGAATACACAGGAAGGTAGGAAGATGACAGATATTTGCAGTTGCAGAAGTGATATAATCAATCAGATAATCCATGGGAAAAGGAGCAGGAGTGGGTCATTTGACTCATCAAGCCTGCTGCACCGTTAACCTGTATCATGACTGTTCTTTTGCCATTTTTTGTGCACTGTCCCTTGTCGTTGGAGATCTTTTAATGTCTAGAAACCCATCGATCTCTGCCTTGAATATACTCTGACTGAGCTTCCAAGGCCATGTGGGCTAGAGAAGTTTTAAGATTTGCTGTCCTGAGTAGAAATTTCTCCTCAATTCATGCTAAATGACTTGTCTGTTATTCTGAATCTGAGTCCCCTGGTTTAGAAACCCCCTTCTGGGGAAATATCTTTCCTGCATCCACCTGGTTGAGCCCTGTGAGAATTTAGAGTGAATACTTCATTGAGATCACCCCTCATTATTCTAAACTGTGCAGAGAATATAGCTCCAGTTTTTTTGTTGTTCTCCCTCAAGTCTATCTTCCTTGGGTGAGGAGACCAAAATTGGGCAGAGTCTTCCAAATATTGTCACCAAGACGCTATATGATTGTAGCCAAACTTCTTTAGTCCTGAATCTGATGATTGTTGAGACAAAATGCTGAGTAGGACATTCTGAGAATTTAGAATAGTGTTACAGGACCTCTTAATATCCACCCAAGTAGATAGACTTGACACTTCATTTTAACACAGAAAGGTTGTGCCTCAGGCAGTGTAGTGCTCCTCTGTTATGCTTGAGCAACCTATTCAAGAAAACAATACTTAAAATTGAGTTTAGAACTGTTTCAGTTGAAGTTTAAAAACCAAGGTTGTAGTGGGCACCTCACCTTGCCACATTCCTTCAACTCGAGACTCAATTCCACAATTTTCAAGGATGTACTGACTCTGAGCATGATATTGTCAAAAGTATTGTCACCTCATTTAACAGAGATTTTATCAGGATTTCAGAACATAATGCTGCCTTCACAGATAATGAAACATTTTCACCAAGTAATCACCTATTGTAATGTAGACGACTAAGCCAAGACTTAACATATGGGAAGGATAATTTGAAATGGGGGCCAGTATATTGGAATGGGCTGCTGTGGTTTAATTGAATGTGATTGGTGTCGAACTTCGACTGATGCCCCACCATAATGGCTCTGAAGGATATTGGTCAGGATTAGACACTTGAAGGAAATAAGAGAGGTGTTCGAGATCCACTCAGAATGTTGGTCAAGAGCTGGGAATTCAAGTGCCTTTTTGCTGCAGTAACTAAGGACAAACGACTTTGGAGACTTAATTCACAAAGGCCATATCCTTTAGGTAAACTGATTAGCTTCAAATTTTCTGTTACCCGAGAAAGCTCACAGGCAGGGTATTTTCATTGAATGAGGTGGAATTCCACAAGAAATTTTTGAAGTTTAGGTGATCATTTAAAATGTACAATTGCTTCAGCAAGCTCTAGGTTTGAAGTGATTCTTTGCCTGTTTTGTCTCTTACTCTCACTGTGAATAGCATGCAACATAAAAATAATCTGAATGAAGCTTTTGAAATCTATTATTTCCTTTAGATTACTTCAAACAGAATTAATCAATCAGTTTAAAAATTAACAGAAGCACGCCAATTGCTGATGTGCTGGTGAATGCTGAACTCGTTTTCAGACTTCTGCAACAGTTCCTTTTGTACATTGAGTTGAAGGAATCACATTGCAGCTCAGAATGAAATAGCGAATCAGTCAATGAGAAAACATTTTGTCTAAAGTGCAATATCTTTAAGCAATATAGTTTAGTCAAATAGGAACCTAGCTAAAGGTACACTAGTCCTATTGATTCTGCACTAGTTTACATGACATACCAAAGGTCCTTTAGATGTTTAGTTTTCCATAGTGTCTCTTTTGGTTCGAAAGAGCTGGCTTGATTCAGATTTTTTTTTGGTAGCGCATTCTATCTAGGCAGAAGTGATGAGCTGAGAATTGCATACTGAGGATACCTGATTGGAACTGGGGTAGTACTTAAACGTTGGTTTTAAAGTAAAAGATCAAACTACTGCATGATTTATTTTTGGTAGTAAAGCTGCAAGAAGACTTCACTGAGATAGTAGGAACTGCAGATGCTGGAGAATCTGAGATAACAAGGTGTAGGCCCGAAACGTCAGCTTTCGTGCTCCTCTGATGCTGCTTGGCCTGCTGTGTTCATCCAGCTCTACACCTTGTTATCTCAGAAGAATTCACTGAGTTGTGTTTAAGAAATATCTATTTATATCTATTTGATGTAGACTTATTAATAGCTCCATTTTACTTTGTGAAAAATTTTTAATCCACCAAATATTACCAAATATTATGAACATTGGTGTAGAGATTTAACTCTGCAAAAAAAAACCCGTTCAGGTCCTTTTACATTTTTTCAGTAGGCTTTACACATTTAAAAATTTTTTTAGAATATGTCCTTATCATAAGTACAAAATTAGTTTGTTTACTTGGTATATTTTATCCATGCCTAGACTGGTTTCTCATTTTATACAGTACTGTGGATGTGTAGTGTGCTGATTGTGAATTTGTTGGCAGATTTATGATTTGCTGTGATCGCTGTGAAGAATGGTTCCATGGTGACTGTGTGGGAATTACAATGGCAAGAGGGCGCTTACTTGAACGCAATGGGGAAGACTACATCTGCCCTGATTGTAGTCCGTCTTCAAGCAAAGGCTCAGGAACCACAGTAATGAAATCTGGTCAACAGGAAAGTAAACCATTGCTGGCGAGCAGCGATGACCCCAGCTCAACAGTTGAGAAGCGAGAGGGAAACTCTCCCACTGATCAAGGAATAAAAGGCAGGATTGAAAAAGCAGTCAATCCAAGTGGCAAGAAGAAAATTAAAATATTCAAACCGGTATGCTGTTTCAAAACTATTTACATGCACTTACATGTTTTGCAATCTATTTGGGCATATTATTTTGCTTCACAATGCAAATGTTGTTTCACCTTTAATGAAGTGTACATCTCATGATAGTGCGGTAGGAGTTTGTATGTTGTTTCAAAATTCCCATAGACCTATCATTTTGCAAGTGTTTTGGACTTCCAATTGATAGTGATGTACTTTCTTTTATTCCTTCTTGGGATCTGGGTTTGCTGGCATTTGTCACCCTCCCTAGTTGCTGAAAAACTGAGTGGCTTGCTGGACCATTTCAGAGCATAGTTAAGCATCAGACACATTGCTGTGGATTTGGAGTCTCATGTAGACACAGCAGATAAGGATGGCAGATTTCTTTCTGTAAGAGACATAAGTGCACCAGCTGGGTCTTTACAATAATCATTGATAGTTTATATTCTATATGTATTGATTACATTTCAACTTAACCAGCTGCTGTGATGAAATTTAACCCATGACCCAGTACATTAGCCTCTGCTTCTGGATTGCCATTCTGGTGATATTCCTATGTCAGCATCTCCTGCTTTCTCCATATAACTGTAACAAATGGCCAAAAAAAAATGCTGTACTTAAACACTATTTTCTTTTTGTAGACAACTTGAAAAACATTTCCCTATTGTACTTGTCAAACGTTGCACACTACTGAAATTACAGCTCATACCACAAAAAGTTGGTTGTAGCTTCCAGTGTTTTCTGTAGCCCTGCTTTGTTGCATGGTAACTTTGCGTTACCATCACTTGGCACTTGCCTCAATTTTTGCAGTTTTCCAAATCCATTACCAGCAGTCAATCTGATCCAGTGATTCGAGGGCAAATCGGTATGAATTTTTAAAAGGATGCAAGATGTACATCTTTGACTAGAGATTTTTCTTTTCTTCTTTATCCTCCGAGAAGTTTCTGCTCGTGTGTGTCTTAATTGGGGATTACGTAGACTCTCCTACAAGGCGGATCTACCCTATCAAGCCCCCTAAGAAATCTGTTTGTTTCAATAAGGTTGTGTCTCATTCTTGTAAATTCCAATGAACATAAACCCAACCTCATCAACCCCTCCTTATATTGACAGGCCGTCCATACCTGGGATCAACCTAGTGAACTTTCTGTTCACTGGCTCCAATATCTATATATCTTTGCTTAAATAAGGGGCTGAAAACTGCTCACAGAATTTCAGGTGTGGTCTGATTAGGGCTTTGTATGGTTTCAGCAAGAATTCCTTATTTATGTACTTCATTCCCTTTGAAATAAAGGCCATCATTCCATTTGTCTTTCCTATTACCTGATGAATTTATATGCTAGATTCTTGTGATTTATTCAGGAGGACTCCCAAATCCCTGTGTATTGTAGTTTTCTACAGTTTTACTGATATAAATAGTATTCAACTGTCTAATCTTCCGGCCAAAGTGTGTAACATCAAGAACAGAACAAGTTGCTGGAAATGCTCAGCAGGACTAGCAGCATCTATGAAGATAAAAATCAGTTCAAGTCTCTGTTCCGGTGACCCTTCCTTGGAACTGAGAACTGTGTAACATCAAATTTTCATGTGTTACATTCCACCTGGCATTTTCTGTTCGCTCACTTAAACTGTCTATATCCCTTGTCAGATTGTTTGCGTCATCCTCACCACTTGTCTTCCCACCTATTAATGCATCATTCTCGAACCTGGCTATAGTACATTAACTTTCCTCATTTCAGTGGCACTATAGTTTTATTCATTGCCGTCCTGAAAGTGCTCCCATTTCCAACATTGTTTTCTATTAGTTAACCACTCTTCTATCCATGTTGATATACTACCTTCAACACGCTTGTCTGTTACTAAGTAGCCTAATGGGTGATACATTATCAAATGGCTTCTGGAAACTCAAATATATTACATCTGTTTCTTGTCGTTTGTCTTGCTTGCTACCTCCTTAAAGAATTCCAATAAATTTGTCAGACATGACTTTCTCCTTGTGAAGCCATGCTGCCTCTGCTTGATCATATTTATGTATTTCTAAATGTTCTGTAATTACATCTTTTGTAATAGACTATCATTCTATGTTCTATTAAAATGTAGGGTATGCAGGTTAGATTGATCTTAGGATAATCGGTCGGCACAACATCATGGGCCAAAGGGCCTGTACTGTGCTGTACTGTTCTATGTTCTATTTTCTTTATAACTGATATTAGGTTGACTGGCCTACGGTTACCTGTGTTTTTTTTTGTCTGCTTCCCTTTTTAAATAAAGGTGTTACATTGGCAAAATCTAAGGGTTCTTGGAAATTTGCTGCCAGTGCATCCAATATCTTTGCAGCTACTTATTTTAATATCGAGGGAACATATCGGTCTTCGGCCCCATTATTTTCACCTGTCAGCAATTGTGTTTATTTCCTCTCCTTTCGCCCCTTCTCGCCCTCCCATTCTCGCCTTCCCCTCTCCCTCC